TTTTGGCACTGTGCTAAATAAACTGTGCCAGAGATAGTAAATAATATCCAACCAGCACCTGGTCTTCCTTCCTTCTAAACAGTCACCATGTTGAGGAATTGAGGAAAACGGATAAATATTAATAAAAACAAGGAATGAAGACTTAAAAAAAAATGTGAATACCTGTATTAATAATGAAAAAAGGAATTAAAAAACTGTGAATACCTGTCATGTCACAAAGCTAATCAGCCATATATTCTCCTACGTTGTCACTTCAAAAAAAACAAAAAACTTTTACCTTATTTATTCTCATTTATTTTCTTTTATTTTGAGAAGAAAGTACACCTGCCACTCAGAGTGAACAAGAGAATGAAAGAATTCCTTGAGAAGTCATTAAGTCGGAAGCTCCTTGAGTTATTCTTGAGCGAGGCAGCCTTATGGCTTTCAAAGACTACGTTTTGTGTTTTCCTATTTTTTGGTATATAGATTTCTCTATCTCTCTTTTTCTTCCTCTCTTTCGTGTTATCTCTTTTTAATTGTGGGTTTCTCTCTCTTCATATATTTTCGTTTTTGTCTTTTCTCTCTTTTCCTTCTCTCTCTCTCTAATATAATGAAAATAATAATAATGAAAAATGATAATGATAATGATAATAATATCAATAATAATGGTAATAAAAAGATGATAATGATCATGATGATAATAATAATGAAAATAATGATAATAAAAAATAAAAGTATGAAATATCAATAATAACATCAACAACAACATCAATAATGAAAATAATGATAATAAAGAAAATAATAGCTGACATAGCAATAACAACAACAACAATAATAATGAGAATAATGAGAATTAAAGTAATAATAATAATAATAATAATAATAATAATAATAATAATAATAATAATAATAATAATAATAATAATAATAATAATAATAATAATAATAATAATAATAATATAATAATAATAATGATAAATAATGATGATGAAAATAATAATACTATTGAAATTAAGAATAATGACACAAAAAATATAAAAACAACAATGATAATAATAATCATGATGATAATAATAATTACAGCAATAACATAAATAATCATGAATATAATACTAATAATAAAAGCAATACCAATGAATACAACAATAATAATAAGAAGAAAAAGAATAGAAGGAATGATAATAATAATAAAAAAGATTATCAATAAATATGAATAATGATGATGATGATAATAATAATAATATTAATAATAATAATTAATAATAATAATAATAATAATAATAATAATAATAATAATAATATAATAAATAAATAATGACTATAATAATAAATAATAGTAATTACATCAAAATAATGATAGCAATAATAATAATAACAATAATAATAAGACAATAAAATAGTAATTAGTAATAAAAGAAGTAATAATTATTAGAATAATAATAATAATAATAATAATAATAGGAGTAACAACAATAGTAACAATAATTAAAGAAATGATAATAATAAAAACAACAATAAAAATAAAATGAAAACCATAATAAAAATAATGATAATAAAAATAACAATAATGATAATGATAATAATGATGATAATGATAATGATGATGATGAGGATAATAATAATAATAATAATAAGAAGAAAAAATAATAATAAATAATGATAATATTGTTATTGATAATAATAATAATAATAATAATAATCTAATGATAATAATAATAAGGATAATAAGAGTAATAATAATAACAATGGTAATAATGATAATAATAATAATAATGGCAATAATAATAATGATAATAATGATTATTATTATTATCATCATCATCACTATTAACACTGACATAATATTAACAATGATTTACTGCACTACTACTATTCTAATGATACTAATAATAAAAATAATAATAATAATAATAATAATAACAATAATAATGATGATAATAATAATAATAATAGTAATGATAATGATAATAATTATCATTATTACTATCATCATTATTATCATAGCATAATAATAGGGTAATAATAACAATAAAAATAATAACAATAATAATCATGATAATAATAATAATGATAATGATTATAATAACTAATAATAACAATAACAATGATGATACAATTAATAGTAATGATAATAATAATTATCATTATTATCATTATCATTATTGATATCATTTTAAAATTATTACCATTATTACCATTGCTACAATAATGATAATAATCATGATAACAATAACAAGAACAACAACAATAATAACAATAACAAAAATAATAATGATAACAAAAAGAAAAAGAAAAGAAAAGAACAGGATTAAGAACAGGAATGTGGACAAAATTAAGAAAAATATAATCAGTCTAATGATATAAATGATAAAGATTATTATGATAAAGACATATAGGAAAATGTGAAAATACCAATTATAATAATGTCGATAACTATAATCACTTTATCAAAAGTAGGGGAAGCCGTTGCTATAGAAATCAAAATAATTATGATAAGAAAAAGAACATCAACAATACGGATAATAATGATAATTAACGATAATAAAAACGGGAAATTATACTTCTAAAAATGTGACGATGATAACAATAACGGTACTGAGAGTAATGATGATATCAGTAATTATAATTGTAATAATAGTAATTATAATAATAATAATGATAGCAATAGTAATAGTAAAAACAATAATATATAAGATAATAATAATAATAATAACAATGATGATAATAACAGTAATAATAATAAAAAATAATAATATTAAAAACAATAATTACACTAAGTATAACAGTAATAGTAATGATGATAATAACAATAGTAATAATCAGAACAGCACAAAAATAAAAGTAAAATCATCTACACTAAAAAAAATACTGATAAACAGATTCAAAAATCACTTAATACTGATGAAACTAATAATAAATACTGATAAAAACGATACTTCATACTGAGGAAAATAATACTCAATACTGATAAAGATAAAACTTAATACTGATAAAAAATGATACTTAATACTGATAAAATAATACTTATAACTGAGGAAAATAATACTCAATACTGATAAAAATAAAACTTAATACTTATAAAAATGATACTGATAAAATAATACTTATCACTGAGGAAAATAATACTTAATACTGATAAAAATAATACTTAAAACTGAGGAAAATAATAATTAATACTGATAAAAATACTGATAACTGATTCATGCCAAAAGTCACTTAATAAATGAAGTACCTAGACATATCATGGTATCGGTATCAATTAGATTTTTGTATTGATAAGGATAAAGATCAAATGAAGATATTAATTGTGACTAAGATAACAAAGGTGAGTATGATTAAACAGTGTTATGGTATTTAGTAATTATATTTTTGAATTGATGATAACTGAGATAAAATAAGGATGATGAGCATAATGAAGATAATGATGAAAGTGATTAAGCAGTAAAGCATTTTATGGTATCAATATCAATTAGATTAAGATAATTAGGATAAAATGAGTATGACAAAAATAAAAATGAAAATGACTAAGGATTTTGCACTGATGATAATAAAGATAAAATTAGGATAAAATGAGTATGACAAAAATAAAAATGATGAAAATGACTAAGGAGTATCATTGTATCAATATTAATTTCATTTTTCACTGATAATAATAAAGATAGAATATGGAAAATGAGTATATAACAAAAATAACAAATAGTGAAAATATGATGATACCAATAATAGTAATAGTGATAGTAATAGTAACATGAATATGAATAGATAAAGAACTAATATCAAGACATAGTAAAAGGGTAAATAATTACGAAAGTATGAGAAAGCGAATAAGAATAAGAAGGAGAATGAAACTAAGAAAAAAGAAAAAGAAGAAAAAGACAAGATAATGCTAATAAGAGAGAAGAAATGTTTATTTTTCATCTTTTAACAATAATATCCTATAATTTTCACCATGATTTATATTTTCAAATAATTACTAATAATGCTATCACAGTGAAAATGATAAAATAACGAACAAAATCACGAGAATAACAGTAGCATTATGCATACGACACTAAACAAACCTGTAATATAATTTTCCTATCATATTCATATCTCAATAATGCAACATTTTTATTGCAATCTGGCGATATTTTAATTCTCAGATTATAAATCATGATTAATACTTTCAATCTCGAAGTGAGGACGACACTTAAATCGAATGTTAAATCGAGGGTACTTGTATAACGATAAATTCATCATTATGAATGTCATATTCCTTATCATCGCTAGCGGCCCCTTATCAGTTTATATCACGGTATCATCATTACTATTATCATTAATATTGCTTTCATTATTCTTATTAAAATGATATTTGAAGAGGAGGAAATTAATATCGGCCTTTCCACTGATATATATATCAAAGTTACTGAAATTATTAATCGTTATCAAACAAATCAGCTGTGATCGTATAATAATTCTCGTGTCTGTTTTTTTTTATTATTTATGTCTGTTTTTTTTATTATTTATCTCTTAGAGTCAAAGTTATCGACCGGGAGAGCAATGCTTCCTATTTTATTAAATATTTTTCTTAGGCCTATGATTATTTTGTGTGTGAGAAATCTTACTTCATTCTATGTTTTTTTTTTCTATATCAATTATGAAAAGATTTTTATATGAAAGAAAAAGGGATTATGATAATCCCTTTTTCTTCCATATAGAATGTGTGAGAAATTTTACTTCGTTCTATGTTTTTCAGACTAATATCTTGATTACGGAAAGATTTTTATGTGAAAGGAAAAATTATCATTCCACGAAACAGTAAAGAACGAATGATAGACAGATGGAGAGAAGAAACCCCAATATCCACAACAGAAAACATATACGAAACGACTCTAAATCCCCAAAGAAGACGAAGAAAGTGTCCAAAAAAATTACCCGAGAATCGAGACACCACAGACGAGACGAAATAAACACCGTAGATGGGGAGGAAAAATAGATAAAAGGGAATAAAGACAAGAGAAAAAGATAACCCGGACACGTACCTGGAAGAAGAGGCAGAAGCACACCCACTGGTAGTACTTGACATATCTCTTCTCTTCTTCGGCGTGGGACTTTTCAATGCCCGGATGCGCGACGTCCACGCCGAGCTTCTTGTTAAACGCAGAAGGGATGGTGTACGTGGAGTGGATCCAGCAGTACGTGTTTATGACATCCTCCGGTATCTCTTTGGCGTGGATACAGTCGATCGGGTTGCCGACGTACTGGCGCGTCGTCACGATCAGACTGAAGGCGAGGAGGATCATGACCGTGATGGAGTAGTGGAGGCGAAAGACTGAGGAGTCGATGTGGACGTGGGAGACTTTGATGAAGTTCTTTAGGCCTCGGAAGATATCCAACATCTTGGCGGTTTTTCGGGAGTCGCGCGAAGAACCAAATTTTCATTCACTTGCGTTGGATTTGTGTTTTCGTGTTTTGGGTTTTTTTGTTTTTTGTTTTTTTATTTATTCCCTTCTTACGGTGTGTGGATTTTCTTCTCTGTTATTATCGGGGCGTGAGAATGTGATGTGGTATACGGTTAATTATGATTTATTTCTATTCCTTTGCCCTTTTTTTTTTCTTCTCTCCAAATCCTCTCGTGTTTTTTTCTTTTCTCTTCTTCCAGATTCTTTTTCTTTCTTTCTTTCAATCTCTCTTCCTATTCCTTGGGGGCAAAGGCAGCCGGGAATCACGGAAGGTGACGACCTGGCCCGCACCTGGCGCCGAGAGGGAAGCAGACGACCTGGTCAACTCCTGAGGCGACCTGACCTAACCTGGCCAGCACCGGCACCTGGGGGTTCTCCTTGGCACGGAGCTCGCAGTCTCGGCTTCCACATTAACTGAAGAAAGTCTTTTTGTCCCAGAGAAAACACGTCATCTGTGACAAAGTATAACCTGGCGTTCACTGTGTCGACGAGAGGAAGCCATTTAGATCGTGAAAAAATGAGGACAAGACCAAAAAGATTCCAATTTCTAACACACTCAAAATACCAAAGGCTTCGATACTAAACTGGCGTTTTATATATATATATACTCTTTCTTTTCTTTCTCTTTTTACAGTTTCCTTTTCTCTTTTCTTTACGAACAGGTCGACATTTCTAGCTACTTTTTCTGAGACACATTTCCTTATAAGATTATTCAACAAATCAACATAATCATTTCAGCAGATACAGATAATCACTTCTTCCCGTTGGAAAGCACAGTAGACAATATATATATATAATTATATATGATTTCCTTTCGAGTGGTAAATCTTGTAATTAATTCCTTTTCGGCGACTGAGGGGATTGGTTACATTCACGGGGACGAGAGGGGAGCCGAGCAGTGAGGGGAAATCTCTAAGGTGAGGACTCACTACAGCACAGGTATAACAACTCGAGGGGACAGCATCACACACTGTCTAGGCAACACCACACAACACCAGTTTTTTTTTCACACCGCGCGGAGCTTGGGGGAGGAGAGAGATGAGAGAGGGGGGAGGCAGTGGAGGGAGCTCGTCTCACAACACTCAGGCTCACAAGACATCGAATAAGGCCCAAAGATTTCCGTTGGTATAAGGCTCGGCGGTCGTTGGAACAATTGGCGGCGTCGCGGCTGGCGGAGTGCGCCTCGTCCCAGTCGCTCTCAAGTTTTGGGGGGCAGCGTGAGGGGGGAGAGAGAGGGGGGGATTGAACCGCAGGAGCGAGAACAACCTGGCACCCTTGACGTCGCGATGCCCACTGATGTTGTGGTCCGGGCCGGTGGGCGTGGGGGTGTGCGGGCGCGATGGGCCTAGTTAGCGTGCGGTTCTACTGCCATTGATCTCACTGCGGTACGGCGGCCGAGCGACTCCCAGCCTCTCGCGACACTGCCGGCAGCCACTGGTCGACGGCGCCACCAAGCCCCGCCCCTCGACCAATCACAGGCCGCCCTCGCATTCGGGACGTCCCTTCCACCTGACCTCACACCCACCTGGTGCTCTGCCCACACGAACTCGCCAGGTCACAGACGACACAGTGCCACAATTCTTCCCCGGGTTTTTATCGAGGGCGTTTGGCTCCGGTCGAAGGCGAGGGCAGGTTCAAGGCTGGCGATTTTTACCATACGATTGGGAGATGCGATTATCTTCGGTGTTTTTTCGCCCTTCTCTCCTTTCTCCGGCGGAGGCTCTCTCTCTTTCCGTTTCTCTCGTTCTCTTTCTGAGTCTGCTTTCTTTTTTTCCCTTCTCTCTCAGCTCTTTATACGCATGGTGACTGAACACCTCGGCGCAAGATGCTCGTTCTTACTCGTCCGAGCACACCAGTGACCCAATTACGGGAGAGGTAAGAGAAGGGGGGGACCTGGGGGCGTGAAGGGGGCTAGGGGAGGAGGAGGGGGGGGGGCTAAGTCAGTTACCAGAGACGGCGATTTGGGAATTGGACATCTATTTTTTCCCTCAGCAAGAGACAACTTTGAACGTGCCGCACTCTCATTGGCTATTCATTGAATTCAGAATCTTATGTGCTTCCCAAGTACAGCCTCTTAACCGCCGCGATCTAATCACACCTGTAATATTGAGAAGGACGCGGGGCCACCACTGCGGTCTCGTACTGAGGCCCGGGAGATGCGTGACCAGACGTACTAAAAATATTGAAATGATTCCTGATGATTACTCTTTCTCCCTTTTTTTATATTCTTTGCTCTCTTCTCCCTTATTTCTCTGTGTTCCGAGGGACGAGAAGTCGGCTCGAAGTCCCTCTCGCTGGCTTCCCGACGCGGCAACTTCGGCTTGGCAGCTTCGGCTTTGAGGCACTTCACTGAGTTGGCGATAGATTAAACGGTCTCCTTTCCATCACCCTCTTCGGCGGTATCCGAGGGGCTGGGGCGGCTGAGGCGTTCGGATAGACTCCTAAGGATAGAGGCTACGATCGCCGAGCGTATCTCTCCCGTTCTTTGGTTTGGCACAGTCCGACGGAGGAGAACAATGAGCAGCGAACGGTGAACACGAGCGGTGGACAGTGATTAAGGCAGGGAGGAGGAGAGAATCACAACGGTTGGAGAATACTGTACGACACTTTCCCACGCGGCCGCACGATACTCGCGGCGCCGCTTCGCACAGCGAGGATACGATACTCCCGGACGATTTCGCAACACGGCCCGAGCGAAGAGGACCACACGCCGTACACTTCTCACTCCACGGGGCCGTTTCGAGACGCTCTACGGCAGGGGAAGCTCCACGGCACGCGACGGCGGAGCGGGGGGGGGGGGGAGAGCGGCGAGGTTCCCGGAGCAGAAACAGACAGACAAACGGACACACACACACACACGGACGCGAATGGGGTTCCAGGTTCTCTCTCTCCTGCTCGTGCCTGGTCCGCTCGAGGCTCGACCGGGGAATCGGCTAGTCCTCGTCGGCGACGTCGCGGGAAGGGGGGTCCGGCTGCACGCTCGGCCCGGCACACCGCACGAGGGTGGCGGATAGGAGGAAGGAAGGAGGAGTTCTCAGGAGGAGCAGCAGAGGAAGGAGGAAGAGGAGGAAGAGGAGGAGGAGGAGGAAGATGAGGTTCGGGAAGGAGGTTCCAGCAGCCTGCGTCGGGCGGCCCTCGGAAAGGTTCCTGCGAGAGAGGGAGGGAGGAGGGAGGGGGGGATCAGTGGGGTGGGGTTGTCTAGCGGCCCCTTGTCCTTAGATGCTTTTATTTATTGTTATTATTGTCCTCGTTTTCTCTTCTCGACAGCAATGTCCTCCTGTCCCGACGGCGGCGTGACTCGGCCCGGGGAGCGCTGATCGGACACGCCGCTGTCTGCCTCTGCTGCTGGTGCGTCTGCCACAGGAGCCGCGGAGGCACTGAGAGCCGTCGGGCCGAGAGGGACACCATGCGCCCCCCACACTCGCGCGCCCCTCCCCCCGCCCCCCGCCTCCGTCATGGCCCTTCCCCAATCTCCGGCCGCCCGCTCGCCCCCCCTCCACCCCCCCCCCTGGCCCGGTCTGTGGTACCTCCCGGTGGCTGAGGGAGGGGAGGGAGGAGGGGAAAGGAGGGGGGGAGATACGGAAGGGAGGGAGAGGGGCGAGGAGGGAGGGAGATACGGAAGGGAGGGAGGGAGGGAGGGAGGAAGAGAGGGAAGGGAGGGAGAGGGGCAAGGAGGGAGGGAGATAGGGAAGGGAAGGAGAGAGGGAAGGGAGGGAGGAAGAGAGGAGAGGAGAGGAAGGCAAGAGGGGAGATGAGGGGGATAGGAGGAGCGGGGAGGAGTAGTATAGGGGGGGTGGGGGTGGAAGGAGGGGGGGTCTTCCCAATTTGACGCAGGCACCTTCACCCTGCTGCTGCTGCTGCTGCTAGTTCCCCTTGTCTCTCCCCTCTACACGAGACTCCCCTCTGTCGCGCTCCACCTTGCGATCGTCCGTACGAGGGGAAAAAAGGAGGGGAAGGAGGATGCTGGTGATGATGGGGGGTGACATGATGACCCTCCCCCTCCTCCCCTTCCTTACCCGCCTATCTCCTCTCCTTTACACACGTACATACATACACACACGCACACCCACTACACACACACACGTACACACACACGTACACACACACACTACACACACACGTACACACTTGGACACACACACGCACTTCACACACACACTACACACACCCGTACACACACACACACACACACACACACACACACACACACACACACACACACGCACACACACACACACACGTACACTACACACACACTACACGCACACGTACACATTCTGACATCACGACTCGCTAGTAGTCCACGCTTGCTTTTGTCATGCGTTCGTCTTTAATTTTGTCTCGTGTGCTATCTCCGCTTTCTCGCTTTCCTTGTCCGTTTCTCGTTTTTCATCTGTTTATCTATCTCCCTTTTTCGGTGGGATGACGATGGCTTTTTTTTTCTTTTTTTTTTTCTTTTCTTTGTTACTATGTCGGTTTCTCTCTGTCTCTATCTCTCTCTCTCTCTACTATCTTTTTCTCATTCTCTCTCTTCCTTTGTCTTTGCCTGTGTGTTTGTCCCTGTCTCTTTCTCCTTTTCT